ATTATCATTATCATTATCATTATCATTATCATTATCATTATCATTATCATTATCATTATCATTATCATTGCAAGATTCTCTGTGACAGATTTTGAAGTTCATATAAAGCACTTGAAATTACTGATAAAATGAAACTGATGATGAAATTCTGCACAACATCTCTGAAATTTGACATTTATTTTCTCAAGTTTCCATAGGAAGTTATCTTCGGTGTTATTTATATCTTTAGCTTTTAGAAAAATGCAAAAAGGACTGTAATATACTTAAAATTATTCTGGTACAGGGTTTTTGTCTACTAAAAACGGAAGTTGCTCGATTTCCTATCGGATTTTGTCTTGACGGTTTCTGTTTCCGATTCTCTTGGTTCGAATGTAGTTTCAACTAGCACGTATAAATTTGCCAATGGTTTAATGTGCTCCCGTGCTCGTCTAAATGCTAGCTTTTGTTAGGCTGGAAAGCACTACGAAACTACTATAATCTGAGTAACGTCACTAGCTGTTACTTCAAATATGCCAGCCAGTAATAGCTGTTAAAAAACACAGCTTCCACTTCTCCTAAACCAGACTTATGTATTTCTCAAGTAATAAAATTTTTTATCGTTCGTAAAAGTTACCCGCAAACATCTCGTTTTTCCGCTTTCCTTACTAGCGATTCTAATACCTCGCCACAACAGCTTTGTTATTACTTATAATTTTAATTATAGCACAGTTCTGACCAATCAGATGCATTTTAAAAATATTCTTGGAATCAGATTCTGTGCAACATCAATCACTCGGTTTTTTTATAATGCAGATTTGTCGTTTACTACACAAAATGTTCATGAATCGTTGAGTGAACCTTATTCTTGGAGTAAATGAGGCTTAGCTAGAAGACCAAGGTGTCTGTGGTACAGTGATTTTGGTTAAGCGCCCCAAGGAAGCTCTAATATACGAAAGATCTAGTCACTTGAAAGAGAAAGTATTACCAGAAAATAAATAGAAGAAAGTCGTACATTTACTGCTATCCAAGACTCAATGAGCGTGCATTTACGTAGGAGAAAATGTATGTACTGTTGTTATGCAACCATTACGAAACGTTTCTGATCGAGTTTATGGCTGTTGAGCGTGCTATGCACCTATCAATAATAATATGTTCTGTATGCAAACTTTACCGTTGACAATTATTTTGTGTTTTAAAATACGTGCTAATAAACAGTTTTTTGGTTATTATTATTATTTTCATTTTTTATAATGCTGTAGTGGACTTTTATTCGAATCCGAGTTGTACAGTATTCAAGTGTGAATGCACAGAATCTGCATAATGGTTTCCTTAATATTGTATATATTGTATACAATATATGCTAATATAACGCTTTGCCCATGGGAATGCTGCACGTGCTCATGAGATATGTTACAGTTCTAACAGCCAACAGAGCCAATAGTCTTAAGTTCACAAATAATAGATCGAAATAAACTTAATTAACTATGGAGGCAGTAAAGCTATGGACATATGCTCAAAACACAGAAAGGCGAAACCCTTCGGTTGGATTTAGATTTGTGCAGGATTCTCGAAATTACATACCTGAAGGGCGGTTTTATGTTTTACAAACTAACAAAGAGAGTCAAGTTATTTCAAACATCATAACTAAATTTTGCCTGGAAAGTGAGTTCATATTACAACTTTTACAACTTTTTATTATAGCTATTCTGGCAATATAGCTATTTAAAAAAGTTTTATATAATTTTCTGTACAGGTTCATATTGAAGCGTAAGTCCATCAACCACTGCAGTGGCATTCATGGACTCGGAAGAGAAATAAAAAGGTATGTCTAAGCATTGCTGACCAGGAAAGGTGACAAATTTGTTGGAGTGAAGTCGAGATATAGCGCGAGCGCAGTTTACTTTTGTAAAAGTTTTCATTTCAGAGAGGTTGAATGGAAATACCCTTCTAATTTACATACTAAGTCCAATCAATTTTAGATTTGTCGTTATGGTTTTTAAAATAATTTGAATCTGTCCCTTGCAGCGACCATAGTCGCTTCGGAAGATAGTTTTTCGTCCAGTGCCGGCAAGACGGTTTATTAATTATTTATATTTAATTTGCACCGTCCGGATTTTTATAGAACTTTATAACATGATTGTTCTCAGCACCGACAGATTTTTTTCCCCTAAGATTCACCAAAAGAGGTCTCAATGCTCACCCTATGCAAGGCTCGTCTTAATAATTTTGCTTTTTGATTAAATACCCTGCAAATTCTGCGAAACATGGGTTAAAATTTTGCGTTGCAAAATGAGGCCAATTGATTTTTCATGACTCCCTCCTGTCTGTGCTTTCGTAACGATGGCTAGGAATTGTTTTAAGTGTTTCTTTTGAACGTAAAACACCGGTTTGAACACGAGAGCGGTACAAACGATTTTAACAACAGTCTTAATCAAGGAAGGTTCAGTTAAAGGAAATAATATATATTTTGAGGTGGAAAAATCACTTGGATGACAAATTTGGTAAGATGAAACTCTCTTCCATTGTATTACCATGACAGTTATTTATTTTACTGTCAAGTAAAAGTAGATTAATTACCAGTACACAAGCTCCAGTATGTCTACTTTTTGAGAAGTATCATGCAGTTCTGGGAAGTTACTTTAGAGTATTATCATAATATTGTTTTTGTTGGATTATTTCGATTTATCGAACAAACATAGCGACAAAAACCGATTGAAAGGTTAATATTGGCATCGAGATGCGTTTATGGAACAACTTTAAACCGAGCCTAAAACTAAGACCGTATTCCCCGTGGCCCGTGTGTTTCGGTCTGCAGCGAGCCAACGCACGACGTTCAATAGAAAATCTTAAACCGAAACCACTTCAATGACGGTTTCTAAACATCCGTAGGGACGGTAGTCGCTGGGCGAAACTAATGCTGGCTCGCGAGGCAAAGGCCTCTGGGAATGATAGCACAGCATAAAGCTACAATTTCAATAAGAATGAGGCCATTGGGGTTTAAATGTTTTTCTTGCAATTCAACTTCACAGAATGTCAAAGTACCTAAAAAGAGACAAAAACATATTATCAAGAAACACTATCCTAAAAGGAAACATGGAGGACAGTCGACGTTTTTTAAGAAATCTATGCCACCTCAACGTCTCTTCTATAAAGTTAAAGACGTCCTTCGATCAGGTATCGAAGCGAGTGAAAAACAAAGCCGCTTTCGTTACGTCTACTATTACACATTCGCTTTTAAAGTTGGTATATTCCGTAACGGACATGGAGGATTCAGCTCTGCGACGAAGACGGTAAAAATCGTTTGTGACCACATAGAATGTGCAAAGTGCGGACGCCATTGGCCGAGCGAAGTAGTTACAATTTATCCATATATATAGAAAACTATTCACCTGACTACGGAAAAAGACAGCAAATGTCGTGAGATTTAGTTCTACAGACTGAGAGTTTGACAGACCAACCGGTAACAGCCATGAAAACAAAGGCATGTCGAATGGACCCTTTAGCTCGCTGAAGATCCCTGCACCCTGTTCGCTTGGGATGTGTTGAATTTTCTCCAGCTTCTACTGACTTTGACTTACAAGTATACTTTCTGTCATCACCCAAATAGCTTAACTTTTAGTGTAAAGCTAATTCAAAGGAAAAGAAAGAAAGCGTGATACCTCTGCAGAAAACAAATATTCCAGTACTTTATCTAAAAACCGGTTAAATACGTGTAAAGCCTGATACATAATTTCTTACATTTAAGCTATTAGTCAAACTAATATATAATTAAACTGTCATCAAAAGCCAAAAGAAAGTTCGCAAATTTATGCTTCTGCACAACACCAAATAACTAATGCTAGCGTAAGCTAGTTACTGTAGTAAAATAAAAAACTGTAATGTTTAGGTGTACTTCTGGCTACCTATCATAAGATTTAAGTTCTGCTTGAAGCGATTTAATCTCATGAATAGGGACATTAGATTTTAATTGATCTTGTTCCTCGTTGTCGGTTTTGTAAACCTTAACTAAAATAGTATTTCACTATTTTTCAGCTACGAGATGATGAAAAGTTAAGCAGAATAATAGAATCACTAAATCTATAGCAGATAAACCACCTACCTATAAGGGATGTTCAAAGGAACTTTTAGCCCGGAATGCGTAAGGAAAGTCAGGGACCGTTTCTTTTGTTCAGTATCTAGGGTCTTCAGATAAAAGGCTCCATTTTGCTAGGCTACACCAGTAGGTCTATGGTACAGTTTAGTAGTAGAGAGGGGCAGAGTCGAGCTTCCTCTAACAGAAAAAAAAAAACACATGTAGAGTACCTAAGCCTACTATTTGTCTTTGCTTGCTGGTTTAAGAAACAACAGTATAGCCTCTTAAGGAATTGGTGCTAGATTCTCAGGGACAATAAATTTCTCACCTCATGCATCAAAAAGTTGTGCAATGGTAATTCTCGTAGCCTACAAATAGATATGCTAGTTGAAGTTAAGTGACAGCGGCTGTTGATATTTCTTCTGTTGCCATGGTTACGACTTTGTAGTCGACTAGCTGATAATTTAACTAAAGAACAGGCAAAAGTATGAAAACCACAAGGACATTTTACTGTTGTCAACGTATTTAGCATGTATACCATTTTCTATATTGACATGGATGAAACAGCCCTCGGAATAATGAAAGTTTGTTCTTGTTGAACTATTGAACTAACTTGTCGCAACTTTCCTATAATAAACTTCAGATAAAATTTAATACCATTCAAGTGTCCATTAACTTTGTATTAAATCTTATCTTCTCCACAACCAATAAATCACAAACCTAGTTTGGCAACAAGTAGTGGTGCAAAAGCCTAATCGATTGTGTTCCTGTAATTCTGGTGCAAATGTTATCATATCAGATGGTAGTTTCTTCTGGGTCATTTCTAGCATCTGCTCTCTATTAGAAATTAAAAACAAAGTATATATTATTACATGTAGAAGTAAACGCAAAAGGATCGCTGTATTCTTAAAAATTCGACAGCTTTCGGTTGCTGCGATTATGAGAACCAATCTATGTCACTGACCTGTCTAAAGTCTTCATTTAGAATTGTTTCATTGTGCCACCATTTGCTTGGCCGCTTTCGGGGGTGCTTTAGCCAGACTCCAAATAGCTTGATCATAGTTGTAGTTTGGAAGGGAATCTCGGGTACAATTCACTAGCCTCGATTTATTCTGTAACTGCCATGCTTATATCATTCTTTTTTATAAACCGTTTTTCATTGCTAATGTTTTAAGGAGTTTAGCATCAATCATAATCAAAAGTAAAGGGCACAAATCAATTATACAAAATTCGTTGAAAAGTGGAAATTCACGCTCGCGCCTTTAGTGAGAGCTCATTGTTGGATTTCCCACCAAACCAAGTGAGACGTATAATGCATGGTTGGGCAGCTGTTGTTGTGTTATGACATTAAAATATTTTGTATAAAGGCGTTTAGCAACATATAAACTACGTAGCTGCGAAGACACCGATTATCAATGACTTCTTAATAATGGTAATAGGACTGAGTGGAGTCCAATTCGGTCTGTAATCATACGAGTGATTAACAAAATCGGACGACCGCGAAGCGGGAGTCCGATTTG